CCCAAGGTTGAAGAGCAACTAGACAAGCTAGTAGCTTAAGGGGTCCTCGAACCGGTAGACCACATAAGGTGGGAGACCCCTATAGTGACCCCTGTGAAGCCCAATAGGTCAGTCAAAATCTGTGCTGACTACAAGAGTACCCTGAACCTCGCACTGCAACAGAGCGCATATCCAGTGCCAGTGGCTCAGCACCTATTACATTCCTTGGGCCGGGGCAAGATCCTTGCTAAATTGGACTTAGCCCAGGCATATCAACAACTGCCTGTGGATGCAGCCACCGCCGAAGCCCAGACGATCGTGACCCACAGGGGTGCCTTCAAATGCAAGCGGCTGCAATTTGGAGTTAGCATAGCCCCTGGTCTATTCCAAAGCATCATGGAAAGGCTGTTACAAAATCTGCCGGGAGTTGTCCCCTATTTTGATGATGTAATAATCTCAGGCGGAGACAAACCCCAGCTAATGAAAAGGGTCCGAGCAGTACTAGAACAATTTCAAGAAGTGGGGCTAAAGGACAAATGCTACATTGCCATACCGAGCATAGAATTTTTGGGTTTCTTAATCGATGGGTCAGGCATCCAACCCACGGACAGCAAGATGAAGGAGATTAAGGAAGCCCTCACCCCACAGAGTGAAGCTGAACTTCAAGCCTTCTTGGGTTTACTAAATTTTTATAACATATTTTTGCCATAGAAGGTGACCATAGCAGAACCACTCCATAGACTGCTGGATAAAAATACAACCTGGAAGTGCCCCCCTCAAGACACCGCATTCACTAAAATAAACGACATTTTAACATCTGACATTGTACTGATGTAATATAGCGCGACCCTACCTCTATGGCTAACCTGCGATGCGTCACCCTATGGCATTGGGGCAGTACTGAGGCACAGGTTACTGAATGGAAAGGAAGCCCCCATAGCCTACTATTCTAAGACTTTGTCGAAAGCCGAAAGGAACTACGGCCAAATAGACAAAGAAGCCCTCGCCACCATAGCCAGAGTGAAACGTTTTCATGAATACCTCTATGGCAGACACTTCAAGTTGATCACTGACCACAAGCCGCTGCTTGGCATTCTCTCAGGAAACAAACCCACACCCAACATCTTATCGCCGAGAATGCTAAGATGGACAGTTTTCCTGGCAGCCTATAACTACAGCCTACTACACAGACCAGGGAAGAACATCCCACACACCGACGCACTCAGCAGATGCCCCCTGCCAGACCTAGTGGAAGACCCAGCCCTAGTGACTTCCATATTCCTTGCAGAAAGTCTCGAGCCAGGCTTACTGGTGGCAGTGGACATCGCAAGACTCACGGCTAAGGACAAAACGTTGGTGTGAATTTTGACCTGGTTATGGAGCGGCTGGCTAAACAAGACGGAAGGGGAGGAATTCACGCTATTTAGAAACAGATAAGTCTTGAGCCAGGCTTACTGATGGCAGCGGATATCGCGAGACTCACTGCTAAGGACAAAACGTTGGTGCGAGTTTTGAACTGGAGGGGCTGGCCAAACAAGATGGAAGGGGATGAATTCACGCCATTTAGAAACAGATAACTAGAGCTGTCAGCATTAAGGGGGTGTTTGTAATGGGGGGACAGGGTGACTGTACCTCAGTTGTTAAGGAAGAGGGTTTTGGGATTACTACATGAAGGGCACCCCAGGATAGTAAAAATAAAGGCCCTAGCAAGGAGCTACATCTGGTGGCTGGGGATAGACAGAGACATTGAGACTTGGGTTGCCACATGCCCACCTTGTCAGGAGTCCCGACCTGCCCCTCCCTCATCACCCCCCCTCAAGTTGGAAAAGTCCTCAGCACTATGGGCTCGCATACACATAGACTTTGCAGGACCCTACCAGGGGCAAACATTTCTAATCGTGGTTGATGCCTACTCTAAGTGGTTGCAGGTGGTCATCATGAAATCCACAACAAGTGAGGCAAGGATCAGAGCATTACGGAAATTATTCTCCACCCAAGGGCTACCCGATGTGCTGGTTTCGGACAATGGCCCGCAATTCACAGCACAGTAATTTGAAAGCTCCCTCGCCCAACTGGGGATCTGACATGTCCTATCGGTGCCAGCACACCTGGCCACGAACGGGCAAGCAGAGAGGATGGTGCAAACAACCAAAGAAATACTAAAAAAATTAGGCCCTTGGCGATTGGCAAGAAAGAGTTGACAAATTGCTGCTAATCCAACACATAACACCAAGTGCAGCAACAAACAGAAGCCCAGCAGAAATGCTCATGAACAAAAAATTAAGGTTCACCCTGGACAGGGTCCATCCAAACTACACAAGCGACACCCCTTTACACTCCACGGGAAAGTGCAGGACATTCACACCAGGAGACCCAGTGTATGCACACAACTACATGGGAGGGGCAACCTGGGTCCCGGTGAAATAATTGAAAGTACCAGACCCAGATCATACAGACTGGAGGTAGAAGGGGGAAAAATATGAAACAGGAACATAGCCCAACTGCGGGGCCGCATAGCTCAACCCCCACACGAAGCCGAACAACACAACACTCCTCCAACAACAACTAGACCCTGGGAGTTAGAAACCCGAACAGGATAGCGGAGACTTACCTGGGGATAGAGGAGTCCAGCGTAGTACTTCTGAGGCCTCTAGCTCAACAGAAACTGCCATGCCTCTGGAAACCTTTGAGGTGCTATCCGCTCAGGCTGCAGCCTCAGGAACAACTGAACCACACAGGCCCAGTCGCACCCACAGAAGCCCTGCCTACCTGAAGGACTACGTCTGCTGCGTATGTGGTGATTGGTCGGTCTGAACTAAGAGGGGAGGGGTGTTAAATATGCATGATGCTTTATTTACATGTGTTTACATTTTATGCAAAGTGGAGTTTGATGTCAGACCCCACTCATTGGTCCAGTCGCTGGTGGGAAGATTAAGTCCCTGTCAGTGGCAGAAGTATTGGACAGCACCGGCTATAAAAGCCGGTGCCTGCCGTGTTTGCTTGCTTTTTGATTCCGGCTTTAAAATAAAGAGTTTCTTCACGCTCCTAAGTCCTGCTCCTTCCTTATCTGCACCCACTTAACAGTAATATTCAATATTGATAATCATCCATCAGCTGGAAGTTTTCATACCTCCAATTTCTATGTCCACTAAAACATTCATGGGATTGTCCTTTTCCAATATAATTCTGTATTTACACATTCTCTAATTTCAATTAGACAAACAATAGTAGATTATAAAAGTTCAATAAGATGTAAAATAAAAATAAAAATGCACTGTGTGAATATTCATAATAAAACAGAAAATTGGCAATGTAGTCGTAGCACAGTAGAAAGTATCAAAGGCTGTTAAGAAATTACTGTATGAAAACAGAGTGCTTCACTTGAGTTTATATTACATCCAATATTCATACTTATATTCATTCAACTAGCTGAAGGTCAAATTGTATGTATTCATAAGGATTCAGTAAAGCCGTTTAAGACAGTGCCAAACGCTCCAGCTTTTATCTAGGAGAAATATTGGTAGTGTGCCTTTATTTCATCCAGAAGAAGAAACAGGATTACATACAGTATTTTCTGCTGCCAGCTCTAGTAGCTCATTTTATTAATCTCATTAAGCCATGTATGTGGATTTTGACTTAGAATGATATATATTCTAAATATACAAAGGCATTCCTATATGAATCAGTCAGTGTATCTTGCTACAAAGATAAACATAAACTTCTGCAAAGGGTGGTGAAGCAACCTGTTATGCCCCTGTCAGAGTCTCAATCCGAGGAGGAAGACGAACAGCTGACAGGGAGTGGGAGTGTGGCTCCATTGGCTGTGGAGGAAACTGGGGAAGGGCAAAGTCTGGCTGGGCAGAGTAAATAGAAATAGAACAAGGGAGAGGGAGTTCAAAGGAAGACCCAGGCCCACCCCCTCTTCATCGTAGGGCACGCAGGAAGGAATGGAAAAGAGAGCAACATGGGTTGCGTGGCTTATGGGGGAGGAAAGGGCCGTGATTCCCTTCATTAGCCACACCTGGGAATGAGAATTTAAAAGAGATGCATGCTGAGTTCGGCAGCTGTTGGGAGAAAACGTAAGTTTAGCTTGTGTTGACTTTAGTTATCTGTATTTCTGGCATCTTTCCAACCGTGTTATTGCCGTGCCTTCATGTCTGGAATTCTTGCTCCTGCCCTGCTGAACTAATTACCTCATTTTGCCTTGATTGGACTTGTACTTACAGTTTTTGTTGACCACATTTTGGACTTGATTCTCTGCAGCCAAAGGCTGTTCCTGGGAGAGTTTTTCTCCAGCCAAAAGGTAACCAGGATATTGAGGGCAAAGTTGGAGCTAATAAAGGGACTCCTACTGATTATCTGACCGTGTTGCCTTTGTGCCATGCCCCAAGTCATCACACAACCATTTGACATTGTTTATTTCACCAGGACTGTAAGGATTTGCTTTCCTTGAAACAACAATTGGTAAACGTCAACAATTTAAAGTAGAATTATGCATACTGTATATCTTCAAACTTTTAGCATTATCTAATATAACTCTGTGAGTTTAGAATTTTATTCTGGGCTTCTTAGGATGAATTAATTAATTAGAATGAATGAATTATGCAACTATGCATATTTTCATTTTAACAGCTATAGAAGCTTCAGATTGATGTGATAGTTGACTCATCTTTATATTTGTCAAACTGTTCTGAAATCACAGTTGTGGTAACTCCAGCTAAGATATTGTTTGCTTGATTTTATTCCTGAAATTGAGTTATACATGCAAAAGGAATAAATTAATAGCATGGTTGGAGTATCCTATATAATGCAGTTTTGGTCAATGGCCTTATACTGACACAAGATTTATTCCTCAGTGTTACTCATTAACTCATGTTTAGAAGGAAAGTTGTACAAAAGTTTACTTGTATCCGCTATTGTACATGCTCTAATTTGGCTGGGGAAGAGGGACCCTAAATGAATGTTGTATGATGAGCATTATAAATAACTCAACAGCTTCTGCAAAATATATTTTATTTCAGGATTTATAAGGAAGGACTTTCCATTTCTGAGGTATGCCAAAGCAGTCAAGAAGATGGAATTCAAGTTTTACCTCCAAAATCACCAAGAAGTATGCCTGAGTGGCAAAGAATAGCTGAATTCTATGTCGAAAAGCCTCAACTGAAATTGTTAGGAAAAAAGGTATGGCTTCATTCATACTTGTAGTAATTTATAGGAAAGCTTTTAGGTATTTTTAAGAAATCCCATTTTTAAAGAGTAACTGGGATTGGTTTTCTTTAAATCTCACAAAAGCAAACATATGAAGTTGCTCATAAAAATATGTGAATCTTACATTAAGATAGGTCTATCACCAGACAGAGCTCTATACTCTTCCTTTTTTGTCAGTATTCTGGGGTTAAGTTAATTGAAAATAAGAGGTCTGTCTTTGATAAAATTCTCTAAAATTATTTCCCTATCTTATGGCAAACAACAATATGTGGCTATGGCCAATTAACAGATACATTGGGAAACATGCAGTTTTAAAGAAGCCGATGACTTTTACTGTATTAAAAACTATAAGGTTTACTTTAGCTTAAATCATACATTTGAAACATCAAACATAGCACTCTTCTAAAAGCTCTCTGAATGAGATAGACAGTCTTGAGTTCACACTTAAAGTTACCTGGTGGGAAGGTGATATCAATACTTTGGATCAGCTGGTTCGGACCAGTTCTGGTGTACTGATAGCAGAAATTTTGAGTAGTTCAGAGAACCAACAACTACCACCTCTGGCTGGCTCCGACCCCACCCACCCGCCCACCCTGCCTCACCCCGCTCCGCCCCGCCCAATCACTCCTCATCTCACCTACCTGGCATAGCACACTGTGTTGCTCCTCGCTTGCATTGACCACCAGTCTCTGCGGCTTGCCTGCCTTCCCACGTGGTGCCTATGGCCCAACTGAGCGGCCCTGATCTGCCTGCTTGGATAAGTAAGCCTGTGAGTCGCAGCCTAGCTAGCTGCCCACCACCACCGTCCCTGCCTGCCTTCCCTACTCCCTTCCATGTGTCCAGCTGTGTGTGTACTTTCCTTTGACCGTGCTGTTTCTCGCCATTTCCCATGCTGTCTGGGAGGCAGGCCGCTTGTCTGCGCTGCTTTCCACTGCGTCCCAGCATTTCCTGCACTTCCCACCAATTCCCGTGCTGTCCAGGAGGCAGGTCACTCGTCCCAGCCGCTTCCCACACTTACCAGAGCTTCCCGCTTGCCTCTGAATGCTGGCTGAATGCTCCCCTCCCAGGCTTTTGAAATCCAGTGCCGCTTCTCCAGCTGCCAAACCTAAGCACTCTTGAAATCCAAGAGTGCTGGATTTCCAAAGCCAAGGAGCTCAGTGCTATAAGGAGACAAGTGCCAGGAAGCCATCGGTCAGATGCGTTGCTGGAGCTGAACGGCTGGGCTGTTGCTGGCCCAGGAAGACTCCAAGGACTCAAGCTTCAACTTCTATTTTTCAGTGCAGAAAGGTAGAGCTGTGAGCCAAAATCCCAAACATAGAGATAAGATGCTGCTGCAGCACTCAGAATAACAGTAACCCAGACAGGGGTGATCTTTTTTGTCATTATAGCAGAAAGGTAAGGCTAGCAAAAAGATGGTAACAATGTGTATTTTTAATGAAGTTAATAAAGCCTCTAAATAGTTAAGGCAGGCAGTCTTTTTGTCACCAAGCATGGAGAAATATATATGCAATTAATAATAATAATAATAATTTATTAAATTTGTATGCCACTTGACTCCAGCAACTCAAGAAAATCTGTTTCATCTAAGGTTCTCAATAGCTTCAGATAGCATAGAATAGAATAGATTATATGTATATAAAGTGCGTGTACCTATATACAGTATAAGTTCTTTTGTATCTAGAATGGGAAGGTAACTCCGTGCATGTATTCTTCTGATTGTGTTCAAAAATTTAAATTAATTCATAAATATCAATACAATTTAATGAACATGTTTGTGTCCACTTTGTAAAAAAAGCAGAAGTCCACATTTGTGGAAAATATTAGAATTAGTCCAAAACAATTAGAATCCAAAAATCATGGCAAGAATTAAACTGGTCGAAATAAAAACAAGGCAAAATAACCACGGAGTTGTAAAACAGAAAAGTGAGAGAAATATTTTATTACTTGCCAACTTTTAAGGCCAGCTCCAAACCTAGCTACCCTCCTCCTATTGACTGACTTTCTGGAAAAAAAACATCATTTAATGCTGGCTAGGTAAGCTCCAATTTCCTTCAGAGTAACTGGTAACACAATACACAATTAAGAAATATTATTTGAAATAGGTGCTTTGTAAACTTATCTGTGGCAAGTCTTCCCAGCCACGGTTGTAGTGCATTGCATTATTTGAAGGCAGCAAAATGTGTATAACATACAATATATCTGCTGTTCATTTAAGCAACAAGTTTAGAATAAATGCTTAATAATATATCATACTAAATCAGTTTTTAAATTATTTTTTAAAGATGAAACTTCAGCCTGGATCTCTTAAAATGTTTTGGACTCCAGCTCCCCATAAATTTTCTGCTCCTCTTTCCGTTATGAAGGAAATCTTGTTTTCCAAGTATGAGGTAAACTTTCTGAACATATTTGAAGACCACATGAAATTTAGCACCAGGTTTGTTCTTTCTTAAATATGCAGCTATGCAGAGAAAGGTATTTTCTGTATCAGGATCTACTGTATATTTAATATGTAAATGACAGAACACGGCACGAAGCCGAAAGCACCAGCCTGAGGATGGCGAGTGGGGCCTCGCCGAAACGTCGCCAAGATACTCTTAATCTTACACGGGAAAAGACCCGAACACACCTAGACCTACCTACCTACCTACCTACCTATATATACATACATACATACATATATATCCATAATCATAGACATATTTTCTATGAGTATTATGTTCATAAATATTTTACTTTCTAGGTTTTCAGTGTATATATATATCTATCTATGATTATGGCAATATGTATATATATATATATATATATATATATATATATGTGTGTGTGTGTGTGTGTGTGTGTGTGTGTGTGTGTGTGTGTGTGTATGTGTGTGTGTGTGTGTGTGTGTGTATATATATATATTGTCATAATCATAGACATATTTTCTATGAATACTATGTTCATAAATATTTTACTTTCTAGGTTTTCAGTGTTTGTACAACTTAAAGATTAGTGGTGACATCTCCTTGAGAAATATACACAGCTGGATTTTCCAGTTCTATTTATTTATCTGTTTGTTTCCTTGTTTATGGTGATGTATGAAGCCAAAGTAAGATTACCTACAATATTTATTGTTCCAGCTTTTGTTCTAGAATTTTTATAGTTTTTTAAAAAGAAAACTTTGGAAGTTTGTTTATCCATGGAATGTGAAATGCTAATATAATCACAATTAAATTCTTAAATAAAAAATGAATAATCCTTCTCAATAGGGTTTCTTACCTTAAATATGATGGTGGCTTGCCCACTGAGCCTTCCTTCCCTCATTACTCTCACCTAAACAAAATTGAAAGCTTGTATATTATGGCTGAAATTGGAAATTTAATTGTTTTCTTGAACTTAAGTTTAGTTTTTATAGCGTCTTGGATTACTGTTTATAGCTACCTAATAATTATCATAGAAAAACACATTCTCTTTAATTTTTTTCCAGAGCAATTTGGTTCATGGGGTTATTTATGAAGATTTTTCCATTGATCTTCAAGAGAAAGAAAAGGCAGAATGCGCAGACGACTTTGACTATTTACTTTCTGTATGTATTGTACTTATAGGATTCATGGGAGTGTTTTTTTTAATGTTTTAAAGAATCTCATCCAGCTTTTATAGCATCAAGTTTTGTGAGGGTAACCAAAACTAATCAGAAATGCAGTTCAGACAAGTACAGAAAATTTAATCCTGGTAAACGAATGGATTCCTAAAAGTCCCTCTTTTGGGTCCACCGTAGAAACCAAGCCATAATCAATGGAAGTGTTTTTTCCTTTTCTGCATGTCAGTAAAGTTATTTCAGATCATTAAGTTTTGTGTGTGCTTTATACAGAAATTAGAGATGAGCATTATTCTATCACTTTCTGTCTAACAATTAACATACTTTGTGCTGCCCTGGCAAAACAACAAGGCAAATCCAGAGATGGAAAACTACAGGTAGTCCTTGATTTATGACCACAATTGAGCCCAAAATTTCTGTTGTTAAGTGAAACATTAGTTAAGTGAGTTTTGCCCCATTTTACGACATTTCTTGATACAGTTGTTAAATGAATCACTGCAGTTGATAAGTTAGTGAGCCGATTATTAAGTGAACCTGGCTTCCCCATTGATTTTACTTGTCAGAAGGTCACAAAAGATGATCACATGACCCAGGACACTGCAACCATTATAAATATGAGTCTGTTGCCATGGGGATGCTGCAAAGTCATAACTGAAAAACAGTCATAAGTCACATTTTTCAGTGCTGTTGTAATTTTAAATTGTCACTAAGCAAACTGTTGCAAGTCAAGGATTACCTGTACTGTCCTTTGGGGATAGTTCGCTTCTGTGTTTCCTCATAACATTGTTGCCTACTGTTCTTTCTAGCAATCCTTAGGTACCTTCATCCTTTCATTAATTTTAGTTTTTTTCAGTTTAGGTCTCACTGAGATCCCATAATTTGCCTTTCTCTACCTCTCATATACCAAAAAATCATTTATGGATTTTGAAATTCTTCTAGACAATCTCTTGAAATAATCCCTGTGTGGTGTACATGAAACAAGATGAAACATAAAACACAGTAAAACATAATTTTAAAAGAATCTGATTAAAAATTGTGTAGTATCCAGTGTCAGGAGAACATATACCTCTTGAGTACATATAAAAAAACCAGAGAGAAGGGACTCCACATCTAGCTGAAAGGGGTGCATTCCAAGAAACAATGATAAAAACTAAAATCACCGTCAGACTGAAAAGAAAATATTTTTAATTCTAAAATTTAATTCTATTAGTGATGCAAGTAAATTCATTTGGGTGTATGATGCTCCCTGCCCACTTTATTTTCAACACATAGTCTTGCATATTTTGGATCTATTGATTGATGTAAAACTGAATTGAACAGGAAAGCCAAATTCTTTCTCTTTATATTCCCAAAGTAAGCACCCACATATTCTGTATGCATTTAAGTAGAAGTGAGTTCTAGCTCTAAACATTAGTCTAAATGACTAGGGTGAGGGCTGAAAAACAGTGGAAGGGAGATTAGACAGAAACATTCAAGAGATACATGGTAGTAAGTCTGTTGACAGCTTATTTTATAAATAGCAATTCAGCTAAGGTGGCAAGAAATTGAGGAAGAAGCATTTAAAATCCTCCAAAGATATTCTGTTTTAATAAAGTCACTATAAATGAAGATTAAAAATTCATCTTGCAGTTCCCACAGTTTTATATTTACCCCGAAACTGTCATTGAAGATATCTGTGTAATCCTTGTTTTCTTGATTTAGCTCAGTCTGACAAATAGTTTGCAAACTGCTGTTTTGCTTACTGGTTATTGCTACTGTCTATTTCATCTGGCAGATCTTAGGAGAACAGAAGAGCTACAAAGTAATTATATGGCAATCTGCAACACTATATAATGTGTGAGGAGCATATGCCACTGTTATGTCCCACCTTCTAAAATAAACAGTTAAGGCTGAAAGCAGCAGTCCTTGTAAAGAAAGGCAGCAAACAGGAAAATGTTATGTCCCACCTTTTAAAGTAAACAGATAAGGCTGAAAGCAACAGTCCTTGTAAAGAAAGGCAGCAAACAGGAATTTTCACAGATAGCTCCAATAAGTAAAAGTTCCAACGAACTAAATCCAAGACTCAACAAGATTCTTCAGATCAAAATCCTTCACAAAATAATTCCAATAAGTAGAAGTTCCAACGAATTAAATCCAAATCCCAACAAGATATTTCAGATCAAAATCCTCCAAACTGTGCTCTTCAGTTCTCCTTGCAAATAGACACTTTGTTCCGGACAAAGTGCAAAGTCATATCTCTCCCTTTATAGAGTAACTAATTAGTCTAATTGCTGGTCTGCTCTCCTACTGTATCCTCGTTGGTTCCTCCTTGTCAGGAGACGTCTTGTCCTGACATCTACCCAGCAATCATCCAAATTATCATCTTCTTCACCTGAAGATATCATTGGTTCCTCATTATCACCCGTTCCCGGCTGACCACCTAATTGAAGGGTGGAGGAGTTTGAAGGTTCAAGCCGATCTTGCAAATCAAATGCATTCATCTCCTCCTCATCGTTAGAACTTGCTGATTCATATAAGTCCTCCTCGCTGGAGCTGTCATTCAAAAAACCTGTAGCAGATGCCGGAATCACAACATGCCACTATAAAAAAAAACTTATTCCAGAAGGATGTATCTCATTTTCATTTATGGGAGGCTACTATTACAGTAGTAAAAATAAAAAAGTCCTAAATTGTCCTATTTTTTACAACCTTTGTTTCTTAAAGGATAGTTAGGTTGATGTAGACTAGTAGTTCCTTTTGGGTAACCAGTTGTTGGAAATACTTCATCTAGGTTATGAAAAAGTATGTGCTTTGATTTGTTCCGTCAGTATTTGTTAACTTTAATAATAAATATTAACACCAATTGTCCTGATTTAAATAATTGCCATTAACGAAGCTCATCATAAAATTCTTATAGATTGCTTACAGGATCAGAATCTAAAACCATTTTTCAGATAAGAATTATACTAGGCTTTTAAAAATCTTATTATTGTAAAAATATCAATTTTGTTTTTATTGTAGAATATTAGTGCAAATGGAAGACGTGGTTCCGTTCCAGAACTTGTGATTTCCGAAACTACTGTAAAGGTATTGTAATTTTAAAATTAGAAGTATGTTTCATGATATGATTTTATCTGTGGTTTGATTATATACTCTTAGTAGGAAACTTTACTAAAAATTAAATTGCAGCATTGTGAACAAGTAAGAATAATCATACTTAAAATATGATTTCCTTTTCAGGAACTGTACATATTGGAAAATTATTTGTTAAAAGATATGATTACTTAGTAGTTACTGTACATTCAAAGAAGGAAAACCTGACCAACATAGGAATTATCAGAAATTTACATGCTATTCCCAATAATGAGATGAAGTTGATGTGGCTATGCTGCTTAAAGTTGAAATACAATGCTCACAGAATAAAATTGAATCAAGAGAACAATTACATTTAACAGATTATTCAGAAGGAGGCAGTTTATTTTTCCCGATCAAGGATAGAAGTGTAACATCTATTTGTTGTTGTTTCAGAACAGATTGAAAGGCCATATGGTTTGCCTTAAAACTCTTTGTTTCTTCATTAGTATTCAGGTCAAGACTGGATGGTGGATGAATTCTTGCCTCTATGTCTGATGATACCAGAAGGCAGGTCTATGGGGAGGGAAGCTCCTCCTCTTAGACAATGAGCTTCCAGTGTAAAATGCCTTTCTCCAAGCAGAAAGAGACAGGGACAGAATAACAGAGTTGGAAGGGACCTTGGAGGTCTTCTATTCAACCTCCTGTTCAAGTAGGAGACCCTATACCATTTCAGACAAATTACTGTCCAGTTTCTTTTTAACAGCTCCCAATGATGAAGCACCCACAACTTCTGAAGGCAACCTATTCCACTGTCTTATTGTTCTCACTGTCTGGAAATTTCTCCTTAATTCCAGGTTGCTTTTCTCCTTGATTAGCTTCCATCCATTGCATATTGTCTTTCCTTCTGGTGCTTTGGAAGATAGGTTGACATCCTCTTCTTTGTGGCAGCTTCTCAAATATTGGAACACTACTCTCACGTCGCCCCTAGTCCTTCTTTTCACTAGACTGGCCATACCCAATTTCTGCTACTGTTCTTCATATGTTTTAGCCTCCAGCCCCTTAATCATCTTTGCTGCTCTTCTTTGCACTCCTTCTGGAGCCTCAACATCTTTTTAATAATATGACGTCCAAAACTGAATACAGTATTCCAAGTGTAGTCATACCAAGGCCTTATAAAGCGGTATTAATTCTTCATGTGATCTTGATTCTATCCCTCTTAATGCATTAGCTTTATTGGCAATATTTAAACAATTGTCCACTAGATCTTCAAAATCCCCCTCACAGTTACTGCCATTGAGCAAAGTTTCACCTAATCTGTACCTGTACACTTGGTTTTTCTTGCCTAGGTGCAAAATTTTACTTTTCTTTACATTGAATTTCATTTTGTTAGGTAGGGCCCAGTGTTCAAGTTTGTCAAGATCTCTCTGGGATATTAAGCCTATCTTCTGGGGTGTTGGCTACTCCTGCCAACTTGGTGTCGTCTGCAAATTAGATGAGTTCCCCTTCTATCCCCTCACCTAAATCATTTGTGAAGATATTGAAGACTACTGAGCCTAAAACAAAATCCTGGAGTACCCTGCTGCTTACTTCTCTCCATATAGATATAGGATTACATAATGAGGGCCATTTGTCAGTCAGATTTCTGGTTATAACTTTGCTTGTTTCTATGTGTTCGGGGTTCTATTGCTTGATTATCTTTTCCAAGGTCTCCCCAGGTATTATTGTCAAGCTGATTGGTCTGTAGTTTCCTGGATCTCTTACCATTTTCTTGCCTATTTTAATTTGAATTCCCAGTGTCTTTTACAGTTCTGTCTTTGGTAGATTGGGCTATTTTTTCTTTTTGTGTGAAGAGAGATGCAAAAAAAAACCAAAAAGAATTAAAGCAGCTCTGCTTTTTCCCTGCTGCTTGTCACTTCCTTACCATCTTCTACCCATTAGTGGACTGATCATTTCTTTGACTTTTTTCTTATTTTTTATATTGACCATTGTTTTCTGCTTGTGCTTTCATAGAGAAGCATGCTCCATGTAAGAGAAATTAAGAAACACATGCTTCCAGGCCATACTTTCATAATAGTAACCTCAGGAAAAGCAAAGTTGAGTGGGGGGGGGGGATTTTCCCTTGGGCTGCTATATTCTAGAAGTGAGAGTTTACAAACTGTATATGGCTGGAGGGCCATCTCCCATTGTGCTCTGGAAAGACTCTTGTCCATTTGAAGAAGATTTTCTTTGCCTCTTCTGCCAGTGAGAGTCTACTGCTCTGGCTAATTCTGATTCTAGTCATTCCTTAGTTTAAAAATTCATAGCAATAGATAAGACATATAGTATTTCCTGGGCTAAGTGGTAAATATATTGAACAATGCACTAAATGAATAAATAAAATGTTAATGTAAATAAAATTCAAATGTCAGTATGAATATTTTATGAATTAATATTCACAATATCAGAGCACTCTGCTATATGCTTGAATCACTATTGCATAAATTTACATTTCTCTAAAAGGCTATAGTTCTTTTGCAGTTTTTCATTAGTCTTCTAGTTTTCAATTTACCTATTCTGCTTAGTTTGGTCAGCGACTAATAGATTCTATTTTTGTAAAACATTATATTGTAAAACCTACATAATTATATTATTCATTATATTATTTCAATACATTAGTATTTATATTAATGTTTATTAACTTGGGAGACTTCAACCTGCCATCCCTGGGTTCAGCCTTGGAAGTGGCCCAGGGGTCCATGACCACCATGGCAGACATGGGCCTATTCCAGATTATCACAGAATTGTCTTGGGACAGTGATCACACATCCAGCATGATTTCCTTGCCGGAGCAATGGCAACATGATTTAGTAGGAGGTTTAACATTATCCCCCCTGTCATGGTCACATCATGCCCTGGTGTCTGTGAGAATTTCTTATGCCACCTCCCTCTGCAGGGAGGCTGAACCCATTTGAGCAGTTTGCCCTTGGTGATCGATGGACCTGAATGGGTCCCAGAGGGAACTTTTTCTGTCCTCTAGGTCATGGTTGTCCCAAATGTGCTTTTTCCAAATGGCAGCTGGACTTTTTTGAGTGCGTGTAGTTTCAAGACCCAAGTCTTTGACATACTTAGTTCTGGATAGGGTGGCATATCCCAGGCAGACCCGCTGCTCAACTTCAACAGAAGGGTGCAGTTGTGGCTAGGAGAACCTTTGCACCCTTAAGTATTCAGAAGCTTCAACTGGTGCAGTTTGGGGTGGTGCAGACAATCTTTGGGACCTTACAGTGGCCCATGTTAAACCACTGTTTGGAGAGCTGCACTGGCTGCCGGTTTGCTTCTAGGTGCAATTCAAGGTGTTGGTTATTACCTATAAAGCCCTGTATGGCATGGGTCCAGGTTACCTGAGGAACTGTCTCACACCTAAGGGACACATCCATCCCATCCTTGCCAGCAGAGAGTCCATGCTGTGGATCCTGTCAGTTAAGGAATTCCAGCTGGCAGGGTCCAATAGAAGAACCTTCTCTATCCTGTCCCTTTGGAATATGTTATCCCCTGAGGTGAGATTGGCTCCTACCCTCCTGATTTTTTACAAGAGCCTGAACATCTGGTTCTACCACTTGGCCTGCGGCCCCAATGGGGGAATATCACATTTGATTGACCAAAAGCGGTTCCCACCTCTCCCCTTATATATTCTGCTTCCTTCCCATGATTTTATACATTTTCACACAGGCACACAGATACATTTATTTATTTATTTATTTATTTATTCATTCATTCATTTATTCATTTGTTTGTTCGTTCATTAATTAATTAATTAATTCATTAATTCATTTATTTATTTATTTATTTATTCATTTATTTATTTATTTTTATGTTGTAAGTTGCCTAGAGTCATCTTGTGATGAGATGGGCAGCAAACAAATTTAATAAATAAAATAAATCAAAACTATAATATTTAGATAACAGGTCATTTAAGATAAAAGAGAAAAATATTGTATCAGTATTAATGATGACTTAAAATGTCAATATTAATGAGCATAGGATTATGTATCTTTTTCATCCAGAATTACAGCAAATATAACATTAAAAAACTTCAGCAGATTGCATCAAAGTATGTGTTATGTGATAATTTTTTTTATCCTCAGCATTAAGGCCTCCACTCTATTGTTAACTAATATAATCTGTGCATATTGAAGATTCTTATTCCTGAAATTCAAATTATTAATAATCTTTTAGCAAACAACTTATGAGCATGTAAAAATTATCTTTAGGATATGTAAAATCAGAATTGCTTTATTATTTTAAATTATGTTTATTATCTTTATATTTTTTGATAACTTTTTGTGTTATAGGATTAAATCATTAAATATGTAAGTAGTCTGTTATAGAAGAATGACTCCTCTAGCAAATATGTACAGTATAGTGGATTTCTATGTTTTATTCAATTCACATGACATTAGTATGCATAATAGTGCAATAATTTTCTATGAAGCTTATCAAAATAACAGATTATCTGAAATAAAAACCATGAAAAGAGATGCATATTTTGAAACTCCATATCCAATTATACTTACCAGAACATGAGTAGCATTTCCAAATTATTTAGTTTATAGTTACTCTTTTTACAAAAATTATTTAGAAGTAATTTATAGCAATTCTGAATTCATAGCAGAATTACAAGTTTTTGGTCTGTGGTATAGTATATATTTCCACAAAAGTTAGAAATTGAAAATTGTAAGTATAATATTATTCCTAAGTACAGGTAATCCCTGAGTTACGAATGTTCCCTTAGCGAACATTCGAATTAATGCAATAAGTGCCCCCTAGTGTTTACAAACAAGTCCCCAAATTACAAATGTTTCAGCTCATGGCAGTTGTTCATCCTTATGAACAACTGCAGAGACTCTGCAACATTTGCCCTGCCAATCCCCCCCATCCTCACGCCGGGTCTTCATAGGTACTAGGCCTGTGGATACTCAACTTGTGAAGATTTAGAGAGCTTTTGCTTTCTTGGCCTGTTTTGACACTTTAGGCCTTTGGTGAGTATGCAGAGAATGGAGGTCTAAAATACTGCAAGATCACGTTAGATCAGTAGCACATGATCTCACACTACTGATCTCTCATGATCTGACAGTACTTTAGGCCTCTGTTCCCTGCAAATGGGGACCTGGATGTGATCTGCAACAAAAGGCTTTGCAAATGGAGGGAAGGCCTGAAACATTGAAGCTTTCCCTCCATTTGCCATCTTTGCAAAAAGCCTTTGCTGCTGAGAATGGAGGCCTGGAGGGACTTACAAGTTTCTCCAGGGCTCTTTTAGCCAGGAAAGGCCTTTCCTGGCTAAAGAGAATGGAGCCCCTGGAGGGACTATGCTTCACTCTCGGGTCTCTGTTCTCTTTGGCAGAGGCCTTGAGGAAAGGCCTTTCCTGGTGAAAATGAAGCTCTGGAGCGACGTGTGCTCCTTCTGGGGGCTGCATTTTCTTTGGTAAAAGCCTCCTCAAGCCTTATGGAGTTCTTTGAAATGGTGCCCCCTAGGCTCATAAACATTTTTTGGCCAGGGGCTGAAAGCTTCTTGGGGCCGTGATCTCTTGTGACTTCAGACATCCATCCACTTTTGCAGAGAATGGGTGCCTGAAGTCTCATGAGATTAGGGCATCCAGAAGTTTCCAGTCTATGCACAAAAAATGTTTGCATGCCAACGGGAGGCTTGAAGCCTTTGGAGGAGAGTCACCGAGGCTGCCTGCCACTCCAGAAGCCTTGGTGAATGATACAAGCTGAGCAGGGTGTGCTCATCCTGCTTTCCCTCTGTTCTCATCGCTCTCCGGGAGTAGGCAAAGAAACATAGAAACTGGAGAGGAGACAGATCTTCATAAGGTAAGTGACACAGCACAGCAGGATGGGGGGAGCAATTGTGGGGACCCCTGGGAGGGGGAGAATGAAGTATCTCAGTGGGTCAGGGAGGCATTGGGTGGTCTGAAGTAGGTGGCCTCTTCTATTTATAGTCCCTACATGGCCTTCCCCACCGTGTTATCTCATGTGCACTTAATGAGCAGTGCATTCAGTTAGCGAATGCATGAGCAAAAGGAGGGAGTGATTGCGTTCAAGTTATGCAATTCACTGCTACAAATTTTTGGGTTACAAATGGAATGGGCAGGCTTCATTACATTCGTAACTCGAAGACTACCTGTAATAACTCAGGGGAGACATAACAGTCTTCCAATATTTGAGAGGCTGCCACAGAGAGGAAGGGGTCAATCTATTTTCTAAAGTGCCTGTAGGAAGGAGAGATTTAACCTGGAAATAAGGAGAAACTTTCTGATAGAACAATCAACCAATGGAACAGCATGCCCTCGGAAGTTGTGGGAGCGCCATCACTTGAGACCTTCAAGAAGAGATTGGACTGCCATTGGTCTCCCACTTGGGTGAAGGGTTGGACTAGATGACCTATAAGGTCCCTTCCAACTCTGATTATCTGTTATCTATTAACTCATTCCTGACCATTCAGCCTGCAAGGAATTTCTGTAGTAAATTTATGTAGCTGAAACATTTAAAAACAAGGCCCTCCAAATTGGGGTGGTGGTCTATAATTCCCACAATTCTCAGTTAGTTCAAGAATGTGAATTGTCATATATGTCATCTCATACATCTCATAAATAATTATTTTATCAATACCCATTGAGTTGTGTTTGTTGATCATTAAGGCTTTTTGGTTTAGCTTCTACAATATTTTCAGTGTTGGAAAATGTATACTACATCTAGATATACTATGCTATTATCATAATACTTAGATTCACTACTTTGGCCATCTGTAATATTCACATGGAACTTTGGTTAAAGGGCAGTCCTTGATTTAAATTGTATTATGTATCAATATGTTTTCCAAAATTATGTCCATAAAATACATTTTATTTTCTTGCAGGACCATTTGGTTGAAAGGCCAAATAGTGCACCAGAATTGACCTCATACAGAGACAAAACACACATAAAGATTTCTTCAAATTTCAAAACTGCTATGGAAGAGCTTGATATCATGAGCAAGCATGTTCTTTTAACAAAACCTAAGGCTGCAATAGCAGAAGTGGAAGTTTCTCTAGAAGAGCGTAGTTTTGCTGCTAATCTTTCAGGAATTAGTTTTAACCCTCCAAAAGCACCTGTAGATCCAGAGAAAAATTCTGAAAGAGTTACACTAAATATTCCTAAAGGAAATCTTTTTGAACTACAGTCTGCTGAAGCACTTGTAGATCAGACTACTCTTGCTGATGAATGTCGAAAAGCTGGAATTAAGTACATAATTTTCCCAAAGAAAAAAAGAAGATCAATAAAAATAGGGAAAATAGGGAAAAGTATTACTCCCAGAGTATTGGATAGTATATTTCAAAAATTAAATGAACCTCCAAAGATTCTTAAAAGGTTGTATATTTAATAACAGTGTTATTATGTATTTATTTAGACAGTTGGACAGGACAGATCTGTTGGTTAAAGATGTTTGGTTTGGGGAAGATTATGAACGCTCTCTATATGAAAATAATTACTACTGATAGTATTTCTGGGCTGGAGCAACATTGTATTAATTGCTATGGATCTGCAAACTCCTTTTGTCCCCCCAAAAGTTACCAAGATCCAGATCCTCAGCTTTGTCTATCTTGATGTACAACTTTGGAACCAATGTGAGGGGTCAAAACAAAGTCAAAACAAAGCTGACAGTGAAATCAGCAGGATTTTTTTTTCTTAAAGCTATTTCTAAAGGCACCTTTTTGTTGTAGGCTTCCAGCCTTTGGGTTTTTTGGTCAAATAATCCTCATTTCACGAGCATTAGTATTGCAATAGCAAATATATCCTTCCTATTGGTATAAACCGAGTTTTATTTTTCCATAGTGAAGGGACTAAATACTTATAAGTATTGCTAGGTTTGTGATAACTCTGCTTTTTTACAAGCACCCATTTGGGAGAAAATGCTAAACTTATGTGTAGATATCGGAATAGAATAGAATAGAATAGAATAGAATAGAATAGAATAGAATAGA